ATGTTCCATACATTCCTCATTTAGATATACAAGTATACAAGATTAGAAGTTATATCAAAGTAGTAAATCTTTTTTTTTTTTCTTTCTTTTTCCTGAAAGAATATCAATAAAATTATCGTCGTCGTGTGTTTATTTTGATCTGATATCTTTATTTAAAATACGAATTTATCACCGGGCATTGTTGTGTAATTTATTAGAAATAAACGAAAATAATTTAATGATTCTTTCAGCATTTTTCGGAGATTTTTGAGACTCGCTAAGCAAACTTTCTAGAAATATTTATGTATATGTTTGCTTATTATTACGAATCTTAGGGCAACGAATGAGTAATCATTTTATTACACTTGATACCAGTATTGTACTGTTGTTGGTGTGAAATACAATATTTCATTATTTGTTTAAATTTCAGTAAAACAAATAATTGTTTGTTGTAAGCAGAAAAAAGTCGAAATCTTGTTTTTTTTGCTCCAGATAAATTTTCCACCCAAAGACGTCTATATTTACAAAAGAAGCTATTTTCACACAAGGTTATTGTAGATTTTATCGGAGATAGAACGTTTCTTTATTGCTTGTGAGGTCAAGGATGTCCAAGTATTCCTATAGTGTTATTTCCTTGAAATAGTTTTAACGAAGAACTTTTTGCTCTGAATGTTGTTACTACATAGTGTCATGGTAGCTATGATTTTCGTTACCTTCTGACAAGTGATAAAATTTCCGTATTTAAATGTTCATATATTGTGTGGTAATATAGCCTTGAAATGTCTATTGTCTACTATTTGAATATAAAAATTAATTGTAAAATTAGTCATCAAATTTTTTATAAAAATATTGCCTTTTATCTGTATCATCTAAAAGTAAAAATCTTCATTGAAAAAGACATATCGCTCATGATCTGCATAAAGTGCAAAATGGCATTAGCACAATTTGATTTGTAATAAGGTCTCAATGATAGGATCACAAATAAGATCTCAAAAGAATCAAGTATCCAGCGATATAACTTCAAATCAAAATTATGAATTAAATATATTTCTTTAAAAATCTCTGCATTAAAGAATTTGAGCAATGCAAATGTTGCATAATTGTATTTATATATAATTTGCACCAGTTCAGTGGCATATTACAAAAATAACTCAATCCTTTTGTGCCACAGACTAACTGTAAAAATTGTTAATCGACTATTTTTGTTTTTCACAAAACCCAATTACGTAAAAAGATGGGTCATAAGTGTTCTTGACAGTTTTTATTGCAATGAACTGTTGTTGCATAGCATTTTTATATGAGAAGTGTCAAGTCAAACTGTAGGGTGTTAATATCCGAAACTATCCCTGGCACAGATATTTTCCTCTGTGTGAATTTGTGACAGTTGGTAATAGCTGTTGAGTAAACTCTTTAAAATGTTACTCCTCTGTCAATATTGTCTGCTAATTCAAAGAACTGTACATACAGTTGAAATAACTTGCAAAGTTATAAAATAAAAACAAATATAANAATATATTAATTAGGGATCGACAATAATTTAATTTATTTAAATTAAACATTAATATTTATTATTAAAATGGGAATCATTATTACTGTTTTAACAACATTGCCAGTTGTGAAAACTTTATTTCTTTTTTTAACAGTTAATTTAACATTATTTTCAGATATTAATTAATTATCACCACACTATTTGGAATCGGTTTTCAGATTTATTTGTCTCCGTACCTTTGTTTTGAATTATCTATATTGTCTATTTTTGTTTTTATTATTTAATTTCAAGTTTTTCAGTACTCTCTTCTCTCTACATTTTTTTTTTTTTTTTCAAATATATCTTACCTTTTTTATTGGATCAATCCTCCTATTGTCCTATATGTCTAAGTCAGCTGTCTGCACTCCATTTTCTTTCCAATTACAGCCATTTTTGAACTCTTACTCAGTTCTAATTGTTTTTTCTCTTGTCAGACTAGACATCCATTTAGGAATTTATATCTCTATCACATTTAACCACAGTTTCCAATACTCTACACCCAGAGAGGAGAGGAAGGTGGAGATTTTTTCCTGAACCTGGAGAAATTTGGGGCCATAATAGTTGCTACCCCTATTAATTAATGTTATTTTCACTAACAAAAAATAAAAACTTTATGCATTTCATTAATAAGGACACATTTTGCATATTTCATTTGTTTAAAAAAAAAAAGTGGCAAAAGGGGCCATCTCTATCTCCAGACACAAGCACTTGACAGCTATCTGCATCTTACAGCATTACTTGATCTACAGAATCTTTTTAAATAAATGTATTTTAACTAAAATATATTTAAAGAATATTCCTCAAATCAAATTATTTCTTTAAAATTAATTTGATTTTAAATATCCATTAAATGAAATAATAATATAAAAAGTTTAGTTTTGCATTTTTTTTTAATATTAAAATGATAAAATAATGATATCATTTATATTTTTTATCATATCATGATATATAATTAATTCTTACACATTTATATTCAAAAGGTTAATTCTAATATGTATAGTTTGCTAATATCTATGCTACTCTATTTGTTCAGATTATTAGATGAAAGATAAATCAATAAACTTATCCAGCAAGTATCATTTTTCTTACAAAATTATGTATATAATAAAAGAATGTTATTTGTATAGATAGTTGGGAGTATATGAGACTTTTAAAATATTAATATAGTTAATTAAATATATAAATAGCCATAAGAAAACTATAATTTTGAATTATGCTACTATTAATTATTAGTTTTAAAAAATGAATATAATAGACAGTATTTAAAACAAAATAAAATCTATTAATATAAAATTCGTGTACTTGAAATAATAAGTTCAGAAACTTTCTAAACATTGAATTTTTGATTATTTAGTAAAATGATTCTTAAGATAAAAAAAAAAAGTTAAATTTCGCCACAGCATAAAACTAAAAGTAATATGGCAAACTTCCAGTGATATAATCATGACATGATATAATAAAATATTAATTTACATAATTTAGTCATTATATAACAGTTTTGGATTTATTAATTTAGTTTTAAATCCATATTTTCACATCTCAAAGCATTATATAACAGGTTCAATATGTTGCTATTTACATAATAAAAAAAATATATCCAGTATATTGTAATTATTCTTTAACTCAGAATATCTCGCTGCACACACAAAATTTTTTTATTGATTTGTTTTTAAAGTATTTTAATTTTGTCAATTATAAGCCGCTTTGTGTTAGATCCTCTTGCATTAAGAAGATTAATGTCATGCATCATTTATTCATATACTCCAAAAATGAATTCTGTATACTATCACTGTTATGTGCAGTGTTCTAATTGGAAAATTCCAATATAATTGGCAAAAGCAGTTATTGTTCTTTTGCTGCATTGACATGTCTGACAACACTCTCATTAGGGATTGTATTGTCTGACTGAAGATGAAGTTAATTATTAGGATAACAGTTTAATTAGTCTGAAGGGAGAGTAATCAGGTTAAATTCAATAATAATTGATACATTCAAAAAAAGCTTTTGAAAATATAATTAATTTTTAAAACTACTTAAAATATTTTGAATTTTTTTTATTCACTTTAGTAAATTTTTTTAAATTTAATTTTTTAAAATATATAATTTAATAATAATACTAAAATTAAACTTTTTAATAATTGTATATAATTTTTGTAATAATTAATAAATGTTTATGTATTTTACAAATTTTTCAGTAAATTTTTGTAAACTTTTAATATTAAATATATATCTTACTTATTAATGATTATAATTAATTTCATACTTCACTTTAATTAAATTATTGTAAGATAATTGAATAATCAATATTTCTTTTTAAGTAAGAGATCAAAACAAATTGCGCAATTACGAAATTTTTATTATATCTTGTATTTGTTCTGGAAATTTAATGAAAAATTAATTTTAATAAATGATTTTTCTTTTCTAATAAAATTTCTCATATTAAAAATATTTATTTTATTGATCTTAAAATCAATGTGTATTTTTATTACAGAATATAATATGCAAAAAATTTTATCTAATGATATCACTCTACAGTAATTACGTAAAAATGTGTGGGATGTGGGGAAAAAAATTAATTTTTTCCCCACGTCTGAATCATAATTTTGAATGTAAATTCAATTATTTTTTAGTTATGTCATAAATATAATTGTATCTAATCACACAAAATGTAAAAAAAAGCATGTAAACTAATGAGGGAACATTCAAACTAGTGCTACCCAAACTTATTTTTATCAGCAGGACAAATTGTGCATAGCTCATAAATAAGCCACAAACATATTTATATATTTGAAGAACATTAAGTCCTCATCTTTATTTGGATTCATTGGTTGCAATGCTTCAGCTTGGCAAAAACTCTTTTCTTTCTTTCTTCTCAAGAGTAACTGTTTGTTTGTTTTAAAAGATAAGGCTATATTGTACAATTTCAAAATAAAATATTTTTCAACTTTCAGAATGAATTAACTGCATTTCATGCAAGTTAAGGACTTGCTATCTTACAAAAAATACTTTATAAGTTGAGATACAGTGGCACCTGCAGATGATAAAAAAGGGGGCACAACCTACGAAAAAGGACCTCATACATACATATGTTATATAAAATATACAGTATAATTTAAAGTAAAATGAAACCTTAGAGCTATTCTGGGGTTTCTCTTTTCTTAAACCCAATGACAAAGGGTGACAATTTGCCCCAGTATACAGACACCCCTGATGAGACTTATCTGTAAAAGTATGTGAAGATTTATTTTTCTGACTTGATGTAACCAAGAGCTAGTTAGGCATATTAGAGAATTATGTAATTTTATAAAACTCTAGTCTAAATGATTTTTTTAAATCAAATGCCTCAAACATCTTTGTAGACTGGATCTAGTCTATAGACCAGAGTTCTGGCATTACTGTTTTAAACAATTTAATTAATTAATTATATATTTTTACTATAATTTTCTCTTGGAAATTAATTCTCTTAAATATTGATTGATCAAATATTATCTTAATAATCATTACAGGTATTAAATGCCCAGTTTGTTCCAAATTTGTTCTACCAGATGACGTAGAGTGCCATTTAGTCATGTGTCTCACTAAGCCAAGAATAATTTATAATGGTATATTTAAAATCACTTCAAATTTTATCTATTAATTATTCTTACCATGTTAATTCACATTATCAAATAATTTATTCCATATATTTTGATATTGCAGAGGATGTTTTAACAGAAGATAAAGGAGAATGTGTTATTTGCTTGGAAGAATTATTACAAGGGGATACAATTGCAAGATTACCCTGTCTTTGTATATATCATAAAACGTAAGTACTAATTGACAATGTAATTTCATAATTCTTAAGTATAAGTAACATTTTGAGACTTATTTTGTTATAATGAAAATAATTTTAGTAATTTTGGTTAATTCTGTAGTTGTATCGATGCTTGGTTTGAAGTCAATCGTTCCTGTCCGGAACATCCTCTCGACTGAACTACGACAATTTGGTTGTGATCACACAATCCTCATTTGCCTATATATTTAATGCATCGTTTAGTATCTATATCATCAAAGGACAACCTACATAAGATACAACACAATGGAACTCAAGAGTCATGCCATCTGATAACACCTAATAGTGTGTCAGTGTTCCCATCTTGTCAGCTGTGCCTTTTGCTACAATAATAATGCAGGATCGAGCTAAACAAGCCACATTTTGTGATACATGATTCACCCACCACAGAGCAGGATCTAGTTTTTTATCAACAAATACAAAATGCCTTTTCCATATTGTTTTTATATACAAACATATATATATATGAAGAGAAAATGGGTTTTGTCAATTTTGTAGATTTAGTATAAAGCACTTACTTTAAAAAGAGAAAAAAAAAATCAAATTTTTTATAAAAATATTGCCTTTTATCTGTATCATCTAAAAGTAAAAATCTTCATTGAAAAAGACATATCGCTCATGATCTGCATAAAGTGCAAAATGGCATTAGCACAATTTGATTTGTAATAAGGTCTCAATGATAGGATCACGAATAAGATCTCAAAAGAATCAAGTATCCAGCGATATAACTTCAAATCAAAATTATGAATTAAATATATTTCTTTAAAAATCTCTGCATTAAAGAATTTGAGCAATGCAAATGTTGCATAATTGTATTTATATATAATTTGCACCAGTTCAGTGGCATATTACAAAAATAACTCAATCCTTTTGTGCCACAGACTAACTGTAAAAATTGTTAATCGACTATTTTTGTTTTTCACAAAACCCAATTACGTAAAAAGATGGGTCATAAGTGTTCTTGACAGTTTTTATTGCAATGAACTGTTGTTGCATAGCATTTTTATATGAGAAGTGTCAAGTCAAACTGTAGGGTGTTAATATCCGAAACTATCCCTGGCACAGATATTTTCCTCTGTGTGAATTTGTGACAGTTGGTAATAGCTGTTGAGTAAACTCTTTAAAATGTTACTCCTCTGTCAATATTGTCTGCTAATTCAAAGAACTGTACATACAGTTGAAATAACTTGCAAAGTTATAAAATAAAAACAAATATAAAGTAGACAAAAATTGTTCTATAAATTGTTATTTAAATATTTTATTCAAATGATTACATTTTAAGTTTTTATATATCTATCTTAAAGTTTACAATACTTAAAAATCTGAAATGTGATAAACAATTCTATGAAATGCAATGATATTCACGATTTTATATATATCTTTACAAAAACCACTCATCAGGGGTAGTAAACAGACACTAAAATTTGTCAATTGAAGATGACGATAATTCCATTTAACAAGAAATGCAAAACAATCTGATATTAACAAATTTGTCATATCACACACTATTAACTGAATTAGCTGTACATTTGCATTAAGGGATGTTTACTTTTATAAAAATTAATATAAAGAATGCCAAATTAAAAAGACAATTAGCAAAATAAAAATTTTTACAAATGCATTAAAGAATAATAATATCAATATCTATTTAGACATTCCAATTCAGGAATACTTGAAGGAGATATATGTATATATATATCTCAACAAGTGTTAAATATTTTGTCATAAAATTATCAGTTGCACATAGAATATTAAATAACAAATTAACACATCTGCCTACACATATTATCTAGCTAATTTTTATTATAAACTGCATTAAATAGAAAGTCAATCACAGCCATGCTATTCAAATTGCTATGACCTATACTTTCTTTTCATGGCCTTCATGAAATCATTTCTCTCAGTACACATTTACAAATGACAGTTATTAGATAAAATGTAGCAAATGTGTTAATTTTATCTATTAAACTCTATTTTTTTAAAATAATCCTTTAAAAAAATGATTGTCCTTCCAATAATGGAAATATAAATTCCTTTAAATAATATAAACTATTTTAAACAGCATCTAACATTCAATAAGACCTTTCTCAAAAAGCCTCTAATATACAAATTTAAAAACTGAAAGGAGTTCTACAACAAAAAATTTTAAAAACTATGGACGGAAGTAATCTTATGAATTTCAGTAATGTATATTCTTTTATAAACAGTGTGTATGTATGTATGTGTGTGTATGTATGTTAATATAACTTTGAATAATCATTTACATAAACAATAGTCTTTTAAAATTATCATGAGTCTGCCTTGAAAAATTTGACTTTTAAGTCAATAATATAAGTGTATCAATGTGACTTGTACTTTTTAAATGCAACTTCAATGCAGTTTGCTGTTTCCATATCTGTACAAATCTCTCTACTATCATTTCAAGATGTGATTTGTCACTGCTTTGAGGTGTATTGTAATAAATGAGAACGCAAGCTGCATTTTGATGATGGTGGTGGCACTTGTAAGTTCTTGCGAAACGCATCGTCTCCAGACTGTTGTTTGTTACCACCACTCGTACTCGGTTGTCCATCAACGGCAACTTGCCCACCATCTTGAAAATAATTTTGCAGTTCTAATGCACTGTTGTAAGAAGAAGTATCTTGAGAACTGGGAGCACTTTGAATAGATACTCTGTTTGAAGATTCCTGAGTTGAGAAAACAAAATTTATTTAGTATTAAGTTAAAACATACAATACTTTAATTTGATAGAACGTTTTTACCTGAGACTGCACTGCACCGTTTGCTCTGTCTTCACTTTTCCGTAACCGATGGTGAGCTTCGGCAATTGCCAGTGTTGCTTGGTGTACTTTGTGATATATTTTTTCTCCTTCTAATGTGTGAAATACAAACATTCCTTCACCAGTTGTACAGTGTCTAAAAGTTATTTTTTAAGAAAGATAATTACTGTGGATTAATTAAATTGTAAATTTATGTATTAAAATAAAAACGATTTACTAACCTGCCTGCTTCAAAAGTAAATTTTGTCGGATCACTGCCATACCTTCTAAGTGCAGTGAGTGGCCAAGCAACCAATTTCAACCTAGGATTACTAATGTCCCATAAATATATATTCTCATGAGTTACCTGCAGTAAGCATTCGCCAAATTCGTCTAACTTGGGTGTTGGCATGAGATAAACATGAAATTGTTCTAAGAGGAAAACAGATAAGATCAAAATAAAATAAATTTGAGCTTTTAGATACTTCAAAGATAAAACAAAGTTTTTATTAAAAGCATTTAAGAAAAAAATTCATCCTGAAGTATTGTAACTTTTCTTTACATTATATTATTATTAATAATTAAGAAATTTAATTAAATTTCTAACAGATCTAATCATATCTAAATTCAATATTTTCATCAAACTGACAAGATGACAATGAATGATGTGTAGATGAAATTGTTCAAAAAGTAAGCAGTGACATAAATGTCTATATTGGCAACTGAAAGTTTTTCATCTTCTATTATGACTACATATATTTCAGAAAAAAAAAGGAGAATATATAGATGTCATGTTAGATAGGTTACAGAGACTTCATTTGTGCATAAGTGAGTTCCAGTTGCAAGTTCAGTTTTTCAAATGAATATATATTAAAGTTTATCTCATATAAATTTAAATTGATGCAGTCATAATAAAAATATTTGTCTCTCCTTAAAATATAATCTGCAGTCTGTATGTAATCTTAATAACTTCTTACCTCCTTATCTATGGAAACTGTATAATAATTTAAAATATTTTACTTTGGGATTTGTTAAGCATTTATAACAAATTCCAATGTAAACATTACTGTATTAAGTTTATGATTATTGAAACTGACTAAAACATTTATATTTGAACACAAATTTTAAAATAATTATATAACATTTTAAGTTAGTATGGCCATTATTTCTTTCCATATGTAGTTTGCAATTTGATAAGATTTATTAATTTTAGTAATTCATCTGATGAACTAAATTAGAAATATTAAAATGATCAATACTTAAGCTGATTAAGTAGATAAAAATTTGACAAAATCAATTTGCATTTTATTTTAATTTTGCTGCTACTTTAAACACCTGTTAATCACAAGTCTTCAGAATTTAATATTTCTTCATATTTATTACAAGATAATTTCCAAACTATTTTAGAAATTTTCTGGCCCAAACAGCTTTTATGAATCATTAGTTTAAAAAATTTACAAAGTAATGACAGATACATGTTTTCTAATAATCACTTGAAATGTAAAGACATCATTTTGCAAGCAATAATATATTTCATTCGTGCCACATATGTAATTTTAATATGGAAATCCAGTCAACTACGAGAAATTTTATTGTCATCACATTAAATATTGTGTACAGAAAAATTTGGGATGTTTAAGTGCAGACAAAAATATTCTTTTATGTTTATATAATGTTTACACTGCCATTAAATTTTTTTTTCTTCTATAATTTTATACAATAGTCAATACTACTTGGAGATAAAAATAACAATTACTTTTGTTAATTATTATAGAAATTTAAAATATTTTACCTTGCTGAGATTTTTCTAATAGAATCAGTACAGTCAATTTTTTACCTTGTAACTCCTTTTGTATTCCTGGACTTAATACATCCGGTTCGCCAGTGGCCAAACCTGGCTGAGGTAAAAATGATTCTTGAACCAGTAATTTCACCCATGTATCTGCTTCAAGATCTGAATTTTAAAATAAGAAATTTTAGACATTAAAAAAAAAACAACAATCTAAATTTATGTAAAAAAACTGAAAATTTAATTTTTTTTAATATAATTAATATAGGTTTAATATGTTTAAAAAAAAATGTAACTATTCAACTATTCATTTACGAAAAAGGAGAATGACATTATTATAGTTGCTGTAGGAATTCTGTAGATTTTAATACATTTCAAGTGATATTTTGAAATTTTCATATGCTAATTTCTCTTTTTATTACCTCATCAAATGCAATGGGTAAGAATTAAACTTAAATTAAATTAGAGAGTTGACTTTACAAAAAAAAAGGTAAATCAATAATAAAGAAGTCACTAAGATAAATAAATTGATTGATTACGAAAGTTTTTAAATAAATGTATACAGATCTTAATATGAATTTTAATAATAATTCTTTAATTAAATATATATTTGAATCTCAGAATAAATTCAATTCAAATTTACTTTGTTTTCCTGCCGATATGCCAAAATATCTTGTCAGTTTTGAAAAGTTTCCTGCCATACAAATTGAGTGGAAAAAATATTAAATCCAAAAGGCTGATAAGTCAACACCAAATAAAAAATCATTCAATTTCTGTAATTACAAGTAAAAAATCCAATCACTAGCATAAAAAATTAATTTCAAATTACAAGTAATGATGACTATAGAGGTGAGATGTTTTATGAAAAACTATACAAGTAATCTTGATGTATGTTTGCAAATAGAATGAAATGTCTTTGATGAAAATGCTTAATTGTTAATAAATGTCAACACCAGTTCAGTATCAGACTATACAATTCCCATCTACATAATCTATAGGATAATTTCATTATTAATCACTTAGTATAATTTTATTCATTGACTTCCACTTAATCATTTATGGCAAGATATCAACCTACCACTCTAATACTCCAGAGTGGCAAACTGATAGCCTGTGAAAAATGTTCAGGGTTTTTCATTTGGGTGTCTTTCCTGGATATTTCAGGCCCTATCACTTATCATCCTGTCACACCACATGAACTGACAGAACTATTATGGATCTTTAATAGTTCTCTTAGTGCTCACACAATGGTGGAAACAGCATGTTAAATGATAAATTTGAAGAAACAAAAATGCAAATTTTAGGTCTGTTTAATCCTAAAAAAATGTTGAAGGTATTTTTGTTTTTGTTGTTTTAACACTCCAGTTTTGAAGTACAAATACTTCAACTTCAGTCTATTAAAATTTCTACTTTTATAAAAAAAATCGTAATTTAGTCAACTTTCTTGCACCGATTGATATTCTCATTTGTAAACTGTGGTAATTTAAAGTTAACATATTCTAAGAAACAAAATTCACTTCTGCTTCCATAGAATGTTAACCTTAACTAAAATTGTAATTAATATATTAATAGCAAAAGCAAGCAAGTACAGAACAATTACTTTTTCTTTGTTAAAAATTGTGTTTAATATCAAAATTATTCTATGATTCTCTTGATCAATATGATATATAAAGTAATATAATTGTTTTAATAACCAAAAGAATAGCTGATTCTGGCTTTTTATTTTATTAAAAGCTTTGATGAAACAAAGAATAATACAACATGATATCAAATCATAATACAGTAGAACCCCAATTAATCAAAGTTCCACATTATCCAAGGCAAATCTATAACTGAATACACTACTTTCCCTTTAATTTATAAAAGCTTTGCCAAGAATGCACTTAGCACAAATACTATAATACTTTTAATCTGAACTGTACTGAGTGACATTTTTCAAACTTTGTCCTGCGGACAGTAAAAGGACATTTTTTTTCCATGCCTGTTGTAGATTAACCCACAATGAGGGTAGCCAGATGGCAAAGAAGGGCCCAACCGCCCACAAAAAATGATGTTGAGGTAACTGAAGAATGTTGAAGCAAAAAAAGAAAGGAACAACCATAAAACAAAAAACACTAAAGGAATCTTTAAAGAAAGTTTAAAACAGTAACATGTATTACAAAATGATTTGTTTCTGTTACCTTTTATCATTTAACTTCAACATGAGAAACCACTCACATTAAAATGCAACTACAATAAATACACATTTTTATTCTTATTTAAAACTATTTTATTTATTAGCTGTATAATAAATGATATAAAAAGTGTTCTTATGTATGATTTAAACCTCTTTTTATACCTTAGTGATTTTAAAGTAATACCATATAAATCTTTTATATTCATAATTTTTATTTCAAAATGGCCACAGCCATTCGTTTTATACAAGGTAGCATCGATCCACGTTATCCCAGATAATCTGGGTTCTACTATAAAGTGCAATAATACTTTGAAATATATTACAACAGCTGAAATAGAACTTTCTGTATAGATACTAGTGCTCTCTGCAAATAAGTTAAATATCTTACTTGGATTAATTTGAATTATGCATTATTTCTGAATAAACACCATATTTCATAGGATGATAATTTTTTCTTTGTATTTTTTTTTTTCAAACTTAATTTTTATAAGATCTCCCTCTACAGAAGTGTTAATATGAATGAACTTTAATTATTGATTTCCAGTGTTTTATTTCAGCAACAGTTTGTTTATGTTTGTATATAAACAACTATATTTTAATAATTCTTTTAAAAACCAAGTTTTATAAATTTTGTTTATATGTAAATTTATTATGAAGTTATTAAATGTAATTATAAAAAGTAATTAAATTTGTAATGAAAGTAACTTATAAAAAGTTTGATGATGCAATTTGTTCAAAAATTTCTAATTATTGTCACTTTTTACTAATTAGCTAATGATAAAAGTATGTAGAAAATAAATGTCTAAACAGCTAATTTCATACTAACAAGCATATCTTGAAATTTACAATACTGATGAAGTATCAACATTGCATCAGTAAAACAAGAATAAATTGAACAGGAGAAAATTTAATGAGAATTTTTAAGTTCTTAAATAACTTTGTTTATTTGACAAAAATTAAGAGATTCTTAGATTATTTTCATTTACTTATGAATTCTATCCTATTATGCAATGTGGAATTCACAAATCACCTGACTGTTATATACAGTATATATATTTTTTGGTGTGTATGTATATGTGTTACACTCAGAATTAGTTCCATATTTTATGGAGCCTTATAAATATTTCTACGATGTCTTGAAAACTAAATTAAAATTAATTTATTTCTAATTACTGAATTTACCACAATTTTACCACAATTACCACCAAATTGATTTGTATTTAATTATTTACTAGCCTTAAAATAGCTGAATGGATAATCCAGCAGATCATTTGGCTTAATTCAATTATTGTAAATATTTTATTAGTCTAGTGAGTTCTTTTTTTGGATTGACATATTCTGTTAAAGCTTTTCAGTAAATTTCATAATAATTACCTAACATATAAAAATAAAGAATTTATATTTTATCAAATTATCTTATCAAATTTTTCTTGTCATCAGAAGAGGAAATACAAATTATCTTTTAAATTGGATACATAAAAATACAATATTAACCTGCATAGTTGAGAATGAAAATGTTTTTTGCAAATATTTCATATTTCTTCTTTATATAAAATCAAACAGTAATATTACCTCATAAACAGGCTATATATATATATATATATACACACACGGTGTTCACTTTAACCAGACATAAAAGAAATTTTTCCAGTATTGCACAAATATATGCATATGGTGCATTAGTTCCACAGTAATACATAAATTTCACAAATATAAAAACAAGATGCAAATTAATGTATGTCATGTTGGAAAATCGTGCAGTGACACATGATGCTGACATCCTTATAAAAGAACCAACACTGTGGAATTTGCCAATTGATTGTCATGGTGCTCCACCAATTAGCAAATTATTCACAAACACTTCCGTAAAGTGATTATAGTTTCATGATTACCCGAGCATTACATGTATTTGTAGAATGCTGGAAAGCTCTCTTTGCACTGGATAAGGTGAACATCCCATAGATATTATTGTAGAATATACATATACTACATATCTTATGATTAATGATGCAAAATTGTATGTATCTGAAATTATGAAAGTTTAATTTGTTTATGATTGTATGGAATTGAACAAATAAATCACACTTAGATTAAACTGATCTTTCTCTTTGACAAAGCATACAGTTACATTCATACATACATGTATATGTATATTTTTGTATTTATTTTGTAGTTTTAGCTTGATAATTCAACATTAAAACAATTTTTATAAATAAGTAAATGAAATGCAATTTTAAAAATCATGCAGTTGTAATGTACCATCAGTAATTTTACAATTATTTAGTAATTTTGCTTAAACTTCATATTAAATCTTATTTATTTTTTTATTATAAATATTTATCTTAATGAAAAATATCTCTAAATTTAAGTATTTGTAAATTTGTTTGCTAAATATAGTATTGCATTAAATACAAATTTCTCTTCTGGTCCAGGTTGTGAAATTTATGAGATTACTCTGAAACTCAAAAACTGTTTGAGAGAAGACGTATTTTTATATTGTAGTTTCCTCTGAAAATAATCTTAATTAGATTGTTAAGATTATTTTCAGAGGAAACTACAATTAAAACTTAAGCATAAGCAGGTAAGTATGATTATATAATATTAAAAAATTCAGCAGTAAAAATAATTATGTACCAAATATTCTTAATACCAAGAACAGTTACAAGAAAAATAAACTTATACATCAGAAAATTTAAGTTAAAATTTAAAAAAAACATGTTTTTGTTAATTTTGTCACTTTAATGTAGATATTAATATATATACCTCCTCCTATAATATGTATATATTAATATCCTCCTCTATATTATTCAATTTACAATAAATGTCATTAAATGATGTTATTTGAATTTTGTACATAATTTGGTGATGTGATTTTACTAATACATTATTTAATATTAAGATATATTTAATTAAGAAATTGGTGGCAATATTCTCAAAATTTATTTTATTTGAACAGATGAGGCAAAACTTTCATACCTATAATGTTTATGTAAAATAACAATTTAACATTATATTGTTACTTGATTTTTTTAACATTATTCCACATTAATATGTGCTTAAATTCTTTTGATTGCTTACCTGAATCACAAGCCATACATTTTGCTGTGCTATCTCTAAAAGACACAATAAATCCATGCCTCTTCATACTCGTCGCCATTCTTGATACGTTACTTATTGTGCTTAATAAGGCGACCTTATGTCCGGCACTACTCCGAGCACTCTTCTCATCTAGATATTTTTCTAGTCGGCATGGCCCTTTACTGGAAGCACGACAAAGAACAATCCATCGCCGCTGCCATAACTACAAACAAAAACAATTATAGATTAATGTTTCATTATAAATTTCCAGATATAATTAAAACTGTGTTCATATTAATAACTTACACCAAGTTTCCGGCTACGTATCCGGACATATCCTTGCTTCACTATATCTCCTATGTCAGTTGCCATGCTTACTTCAGTTATCTTATTTTTTTACATATCACTTTAAGGTCAACATAACAAATTATGACTAAAAAACAAAATAAATATAAATACATACATACATACATATATATATATATAAAGTTAAGTTTAGCAATTTAATAATTTTTAAAATTATACAAACAGTGTATAAAATACAGTTTCATGTTAAATTAACTGTTAAACACAAAATAATAATAAATACATTTGTTTCATTCTGATTATGTAAAGTAAAAAGTTCAATTATATCTTAAATATATTGAGAAATTCAATTAAAAGTTCTATTAGATATATAAATGAATCTGAAATATGAGAGGAAATAAACTTTATAATCTTAGTGCAAAGATTAACTATTGAATCTGGATAAATTATTCAACTAATAGCAGAAAACTTCTACTTGAATATGATGTATTGCATCCTGCCAACTGGTTGACTTAAATGGGTCATTTTATATAACTTCCATCGTAATACAAAAGCCAAAACAACTAAAATGTCTTGAAACTTTTGTTTATACCCCAAATATAACAGGAAGTAATTCTAAAGTGCATTCATAAATGTAATTGGATGGCCTTCAACATCAGGATAAGAAGATTATGTCTTACAAAAACTCACTTTAACAAAAAGAATCTTAAATGATGCAATTATAAATAACTTAAAATAAGCAATTTTTGTGGTGACAACCTTGTTTTAACATTTTGCTCTTAAATTTTGATATTTCTGTAGCATTTGATTTTATAAATAGTGGCATTAAAGAAATTAAGTTCAATAAATATTCAACTTAATTTCAGAATATAATTAATGCAACATCTCACAAGATTAATTGAGATTTAATTTTAATTTCTAAAATTAGAATGTCCCCAGACATTCAACGCGCAACAGACAGTTTGTTAAACTTTATTATATTTTCCTAGTTCAGTGAATTTCTATAGATTTCACATAGAGTTCACGATGCATATCCTCATTATTATGTCTATGCTTCTCGTTCCCGTAAGAAATAAATGAGATTCAGCTTTGAAAACAGAACTGACAAGCACTTTACCAACATAAGGCACATAATTAAAATTCTAATACAAAAACAATAGCGAATAATTATCAACTCAAATCGACTAAAATATATAATTTCGGGATCGATCGATCAAACAATAAAACAAAGCAACAAAAAATTTTATTTAACCAATCAAAGTCGGATAAAATATTTTCAAAATTTCATTTAAATAAACTATTTTGAACAAATATTCCTCTTTAATTTCAATAATAAAATTTATTTAATAAATATCTTCTTCTCAAATTTAAAATTCATTAGTTACCAAAATCTCGAGAGATTTTCTAACTCATATCATCAATTTTACAGGCTATATATATATATATATATACACACACGGTGTTCACTTTAACCAGACATAAAAGAAATTTTTCCAGTATTGCACAAATATATGCATATGGTGCATTAGTTCCACAGTAATACATAAATTTNTGTATTAATTTCTTAAAAATATTTATAGTTAGTTACATTCAGAAAAGAAATTGTAGTTGAGAGACTAAATAAATTTCATAGAATACATTTACTAATAATTAATATATAATTTTATTTTCCACAACTTTCTTAATAAATATTAATAAGTTAATAAAATGAATATATTTTCATTTTAAAAGATAAATGATGAATTCAGTAGGAAATGAGAGTGAGCTTATTTTAAATGTTAAGCTTATTTTAAATATGATAAACTTCAAAGCTATTTTTACTGAATTTTATAAATATAAAGTATGACCTCACTAATCCAAACTACGGAAATTGGGGCTCAAGCCTATTCGGATTATCAAAAATTCTTTTTCCTTAGTGTATTTTTGTATTAATATGGATTTCTGAACATACTATAGTTGGAAGAATCCATTGTATTATATCCTAATGAGTGACGTTAATCAGTTTTTTTGAAAAATGACAAACTCGGTTCAGGTATGTGGGGTTTCAATCTCATTCCGAGTCAGTTGGTGACCATATATGAAGTAGGAGATGAGAGGCTAGCCTAAGTTTTCTATTCCAATAGCAAATTTAAAATTAATTTTGACAGCCTGTACTCTGTGTTTTCTGAACAGAGCAAGGTAAGTGCATGTATTTTGTGTTTGACAAACCATGTATTTTGTTTGATATAATTTAGTTTGTATTTTCCAATCTGACTATGTTATTTTATATGTAAAAAGTCTAAAATTTTGTCAGTTAATTTGATAAAACTTTTTAAGTTTGAAAAATTAAAATATTCAGATGGAAAAGCATTTAAATATTGAAGATTGTAACTTATTTTTAATCTTTCTTTTTTATAAAATAAAGATTAATTTATAAAAGTCCTATTCTTTTATTATATTTTGGAAGAAGTTTTTTCCCTCCATTTACTATTTATATAAAAATCAGATAATCAGTTATACCAAAAAAAAAAAGAAATGCAATGATGGTCATAAATTATATACATATTTTTTGATAAAAAAATTAAAATGGTAATAATTGAGTTTTGAGGGAAATAATCTCATTAAAATGAATTCAGTTGTAGAATAAGGAAGTAAAAATATATATTTCTAGAAAGATTATAAAAATAAATTGCATTTTTTGCATATAATTTAATAGTCAAAACTTTACTTAAAATGTCAATTGCTCTTCTATCACTAGAATTAATTAGTGCACTAAAAATGACATTCAATGTAAGAGCTAACATTAGAAAAATAAAAACAAATCATTTGCTAGCATAATTCTGCAAAGAAACTATTAACATTAAAAAATTCTATAGCTAGACCATTGATAATATATTATTTAATTTTATATCTAATCTAATTAATTTAAATCACAAATTATCTGACTAAAATAATTAAATTTAGTCTAAAAATGTGCAAAAAANTCTATCACTAGAATTAATTAGTGCACTAAAAATGACATTCAATGTAAGAGCTAACATTAGAAAAATAAAAACAAATCATTTGCTAGCATAATTCTGCAAAGAAACTATTAACATTAAAAAATTCTATAGCTAGACCATTGATAATATATTATTTAATTTTATATCTAATCTAATTAATTTAAATCACAAATTATCTGACTAAAATAATTAAATTTAGTCTAAAAATGTGCAAAAAATAATTTAGATAAGCTTTAAAATAATCAAAATTTCAGAATTTTGATATTAACATTATTTTTTTTATACAGATAGTCTTCCAACTATTTATATAAAATCTTTGCAGTGATAGATTCAAATAAAAATGTACAATATTTCTCAAAATATATCCTCTTCAATGTTAGTTAAACAAACTCACAGAAAACTTTTCTTATAAATTATAAATATGTTGAAATATATATTTACTTAGCTGTAATTTAAATTTGAAGCGATAATGGAATGGCTGTTGAGCATGAAATTTATAGCCAGGAAAAGTTTCTAAAATATAAAATTGGATTTCTCCGTATAAAGGAGCTCAATTTCATTTTGTGTACTATACTTTATATAGAAACTTATGAAAAATTGATAACCAAGATATATTTCGTTTTTCTCGTACATCAAAAGCCTTCGGAGACCGAAAGTTCAGAAATCTGACAGAAAAAAATATATATTTAATTTTCAGAACTCGCTTCTACTAATAGACGGAAAGATATCTATTCTCACTACAATTTAATTAAATAGAAAAATTTTTTAAGTGAGATCTGATAAATTACAAAAGTTTAAATTTTTCTACATTAATTAAACTCAGATAATTTCCACTAAAATTATTTTGTACGAAGCAAACAGGAAGAAATTTTATTATTACGTGTACTGGATTTTAAATGAACATAAATTATATGTGTGACTAATTTTCCGCATTTCATATCAATAATCTAAAGTTATTAAGATTCATGAGTCAAAGAATTACTGTACAAAACTGAATCAGTTCACATAATAAATGAAATTACAAAAGAAAAACAAAAAACCATTCTCTGTGGGTTTGTTTTATTATTTTTATTTCCTTTTATATAAAGTTTAAAAATTGAAAGCAGATTTTCATACGTTAGGAATCAACAATTTTGTGTAATTTAATATCAAACTTTAGTAGCAATCTGTACATTTTCAAATTAATTTTATTAAAATTTCAATTCAATTTATTAAAAATATGCATTAATTAAAGACATGTAATGTAGTTTACAATTAATGAAATTTGAAAGATAAATAAAATATTACAGAATGGGTTCTATGACATCAAAACAATCTTATTTTTTTCCTCCTCTTTCTTTCTCTGCCTTATAAAATTACATAAAAGCGTAAAGAAATGTAAGTTTCTTTTTTATAAAATAAACAAAACTAGACAAATAGAAAATGAATAATTTATTAGAAATAATGCAATAATTTATAAATATCATGTTTTGTAAAGACTTTTTGTTTTCTTTCTAAAAAAAATATGATAAAAACAAGAGAACGAAAGCAACAAAAAATTAGATGAAATAAAAATGAATTGTTTTAATTTTTTAATACATATTTTAGAGATTATAAAATACTTTATGCTCTATCATATCAGACAATCATCGTTTAATTTCCATGCTAGCTTCGAGCAATCAATATTCCGATCATATTTCGATCTGGAAATCAATCTTAATTGGAATATTTATGCTAACAAATAAGAAGTAAAATTAAAGTTAATTGTATTGCATGTAATGCTTCACGGTATCGTAGTTCATTAAGTTTTTTTAACAGAAAATTTTTGGAATTTGAAGTTGGTATGATAAATAAAAAAATAAATAAAAAAAATAAACCAAAAAGTGATTTTGCTCAAGAGCCAAGAGGAAAGAAAAATCCAAAGACGAGACAGATAGTGTATTATTAGCATACTCTACAGACTCGTCTAAGAAGTGGGAGTCTGATTCTTCTCCTTGGATTTTCTTTTCCTTAGTTTTTAACTTGTCAACCAAAAGTCACTTTCCAGTTCTTGTTTTTTTCTTTCCTTTTTTTCCTTTCTTTCTAAAGTTTCATTACTCTACTTAAAAATTATCTATTTACAAATAGCGCAGGATCTCAATCTCAAATTTAAATTTTTATACACATTAAACAATATACACACACATTAAAAAATTTCATTAAGATATTATTGAAAGCGTATAAAATATATAATTTTGTAAATACCATTAACAAAATAATCAATCAGAAATCTTAAATGGAGAGAGAAAAGCTCAGAATTTATTGTGTAAATTTAATTTATCATTTACTTCATCACTTTCTATATAAATATAGGACTTCCAAAATTAGATTGAGAACAAGATTCTTTTTTTTTTTATTATTTAAGGTAAGCAGGTAATTATTGTAATTGGTCCAGTTAATGTCTGTCTTGTTGAAGGTCTAAAGTATCTGCTGACTAACGGGAAATGGTTACAAATCACTGCTGCGAACAGAGTTCACCAAGTGAGTAGATTAAACTGACCAAATGGATCCTCACTCCATTTTTTTTCCTAATTAAGTGGCAGTTCTTTCTTTATAACTGGCCAAATTGGAAGTGTTATTTAAAACAACAAAATGAATATTCTTTGATTATTTAAAAGACATTTAATGTAATATCTGTGTACGCAAACAGAATAGGTATAACGTTAATTACTCAGATATCATTAAGAATTTAAAAGCTACATATCTGAACATTAATGTTCTTGTACGATTATTAAATGTTGACGTTGTTTTACAGAATTTGTGTTATAAATTATTTTACAACAAATTGCATCTTTTAACAAAACTTCTTCAACTTTCACAGATTTAAATCTTTAAAAAAAAAAAAAAAAAAAAAAGTTTGCCAATTCTTACATTTAAAATTATTTTAAAATACAAGTATTATTATTCAATTTTAACAGAATGAATTACATTAATTAAATCCTAGTAGCAAGTAAACATTGAAGCAATGCCTCTAAACAATTTTCATTATAATTTATAATTATGAAATTAAATTGTCGCTGTTTACAATAATCGTAATCATTATTAATATTTATGAATCTAAATATATATATTAAGCATGATAAGGAATCAAATTTTAAATAAACTGTCTTCAAATTGCTCAATAACTGGATGACAGTTGTAGAGGCAATAAATAACAAGAAATTAACCATCTACATTGTCCCAGTTAGCAACTCTAGATGTCAGCAGATGTTTAAATCATTAGAACAAGAACAGCAGATCTTTTATCAATTTTTTTTCCTTCCTTTTCTTTCCCCTTTTCATTACATAAATTGAAACTAAATATAAATATTTTGAGTCATTTACATAAATCTCTTACTTGTTACCATTTCATTTGATAGATCTTATAGCAAAACTAATTGTAGAATTTTTTTTTATCCTCTTGATATTCTCCAGCTGTGGTAGCAAATAAGGGCATTTGTTAAATTAATATTACTTCATTTGAGCAATATTAAGTCTCGTGCTTGGCTTCAATACTTGAGTTGCTAAATATATATATATTTTTTAAATCAGAACTTATGATTATTAACAGATTAAGTTTCATAAATCATGTAATCCACAGATTTCGCGGCATTAAATTTATTTAATAAATCGATAATTAATTTAATTAGTAAAATACAATCTAGGGAAATGATTCTAACTTTCTGATAGATTTTCTGCATAAATTATTATTATAATTATACGTGTATCTGTGTTAATCTTTGTAAAATCTCGATATCATTGTTTAAAAGACAAACAAACAATATTTGAATATCATTAACATACTAACAAAACTTGATTTTATTGTTTTATTTATTACTATTATTACTTTCTACACACAATATCCTTTAAGCTGCCACATCTGAAAGGTATATATTGTCACTAACGTGATATTAACGGGTGGATTTTCAAATGCAGCTTTTTAACCCCTTTAACTTTTCGACCTTTTATCTTTTGTACACGGATGAATCGAGATTTCTAGAGAAGTCCTTTATGGGTCGAGGTTGAGGGAAATTTGCGAGAATTCAAGTTTTGTTCACAGTATGTATTTTTAAAAGAAATAAATGGTTTAAGCGATAACGATATAATGATTTGTTCCGCCAGCATCTAATGACAAACCAAAATACACTACTGACATTTTTTATAAACATCTGGACTAATAATTAATGTTATCTTTTTATCAAATTTTAACTTTTAAGATTATTTATAAATTCATTACTAAGAGAAATCAAATGTTAAATAAAATACTATAAAGTTCAAAACAATCAGATATTACAAATTCAAATTAGTTACAATCAAATGAGAGCAACTATTTGGCATTTCTATTTTCCTTTGTAATAAATTTTAATGCAATTAAAATCAAAAATACTTTTGAGCAATTCAATCAACATTCTACAAATTTACACTCAAATCTGTTAAAACAATAACTACAACTTCAGTTCTAACTTTTATGTAACATACATATTGAAATCATTGATGAGTATTAATTTACCAAATAACTTTGACTCATATTTAGCTGTATTTTAGACTTACTGTAGTTAATAGTATCATCTCTCTAGTTTATAAGATTAATCAGAGTATATTTGTATATTATAATTGTCGAAATGTATTTAAAACAAGATTACAAGTATCACCACTTCTATTTGAAGCACATATCTTGCTAAGAACACGTATCGTATCCAATTAATCAAAGGCACGAGGGACAAAGAATCATTTATATGGTACGACAATACCAGAAATAAAACATTTTTTTTTAATTTTGCAAATAAAAAAAAAGCATAGTTATTCTACTGAAAAAAGCATGGAATTCTACAGACACTATCTTTTTTTTTTTGTTTAGGAATTTTGTTTTTAAAGTCATTAGTAAGAGCAATAATTTGTGTAATTTGATTTTATTTACAGTTTTGCTTCTCTCTCCAGTATCCTCATCTAGAAACAGAAATCCTTTAGCAGCTTTAATTATCGAGCATATTTGACAGCAAAATAGTCTATTTTATACTTTAAAAAAGAGAGATTTAGATTCATCATCTCTCTGGTAAATTACAGTAATGTTTGGAGGCACGTCGTAACTTCACGGAACCTAGGCAAATACGAATTGGGAAGTTCTGCATACGGTGTCGACTTGGAAAATTTTTTGGGGAGTCTGCCGACGCTGCATTTGTCTTTAACGCGACCGCCAAAGGGGTTTTGATTTTTGCGCCGCCCGGCAATCTACAGTTCCGGATACAACTCAAATTTAAATTTCGATACTGTCACTAGGGTAGCGGTTTGGGGCCACAGGAAAATGCACCACCGTAACGGCAACAGAGAACAATCCACAGCAAAAATATTCAAAAAATTCTTTAAAATTAAATCACTTAACATTAGAAAGAAAATTGAATTTTTCTCATTAATGTAACCATTTAATTTCTTTTTTCCTTATTCAAATATTTAATCAACTTTTTTTAAGATGTAATTATTAAGTTATTCCATTGGATAACATTAAAATAAATGTAAAGAAAAAAAAATAATAATAATTATATTGAATAAATTTAAAGAAAAATTCTTAATTTAATTTAAACTACATACAGTACATTAAAGATTATAATTATTATTAAGTTTTTTAATAGATAAATAAAGAGAGAAGTGGAGAGAAAAGGCATCGACTTACTTCAACTTTCTTCTCAGTTTTAAGCACAGGCCAAACAAAACTAGTAAAAAATTTTTTGTTTACAAAGGGACGATTTCTTTAAAAACACGTCTACTCGTTATCATTTAGCTCATCTGTAATTAAAAAAACAAATATTGGACGTTATAAAAATGATTTTTTATGTCATTTCTTTTTGTCGTTAAAACGTGGAAACAAACGCCGAACGATCTCTCTCGTCCGACATCTTGAAAGCTTCTGACCCGATTAGGGTTAGTCCGGGCGAATTCTCTAACCTGATTGGTCCGTACGAAATTAAATGCTCCTATTGGTCGGTGACAAATGGGTAATGACGATTGGTTAATATTCGAGACTGGTAGACGACATTCGAACGATCATTTTCAATATCGAAGTGGATGATATAAAGGAGACAAATGTCTTGATTTTTTTTTTGTTTTTTTTGGGATTATTTTTATTTTATATATACACGCTATATCCCGACGCGATGATCAATCCTTATTATTATTATTATTATTCATTCTGGTTTCTATTGTTTATCGTTCGGAGATCATTATTAAGCGAGTGGAAATCTCGGAGGTAGAATACCAGCTGGCAAACTATAGGGATTTTTTACGGGAAATTTTACTTATAGAGCAATATCAAAAGCCATTTTATACAGGAAACTCTATTGTGTAGGAAAAACCCTGAAAATCCTATAGGTTTCCTTCTCTGTATGACAATAACTCCAGTCTCAGTCTATTGTTTCAATAAGCCTGCTGATAGGCACCGCTGTAGAAAAAAGAACCAAGGTAATGCCCAACAGTTAATATGAATAATATATAAGATGAAGTATATTGTTTAGGGAAATTACTGAAAACCCTACCCGCTTATTCAGTATGATAACAACTCCAGTCTTATGTATAAGTCTGCTGATAGACAAGACATCCTTATAAAAATCAAAATCAAGGTAGTGCCACATAGTTAATACGAAGTGTATTGTTTAGGGAAATCCCTGAAAACCCTACAGGCTTCCTTCTGTGCACGACGCCAACTAACTCTAGTCTCTATTGTGTAAGCCTGCTTGCCGATAGACGTCCTTATAAAAAAAACCACCAAGGTAGTGCCCCACATAGTTACTTTATGGCTATTGTCTTAGACAAAATTCGATTTTTTAGGGTGAATTCATTCGATTTTTAACATTAAGAAAATGAAATCTTTAAATTTAGGGATGTTTTATATCCATTAAAAAAAATCCCTAAATTTTTATAGGTCTGTTTTTATATTGTAGATGTTAATGACAAAAATTCAATTAGACATACATTTTACTCATTAATAAAGTAAATACTTCACAATTATTAAGAATTCTTCACTAAAAATGTCTTAAGAATTGTTTATAACACGAATATAAACTGAAAGAAGCAAAAATAAAATTTTAGAAGATAAAAATAGCGTTTACATTCAAAGAAGTAGCATCACAATTGCACTTACTATAAGCAAACTCCGGCTAATACAGTAGAACCTGTGTAAACCGGAATCGCGCGTTATCGAATATTTTTCCGTTTCGAACGGGTTTATCTAACAGAAAATTGCTATATTCCGAAGAATTCTATTCCCGTTTAGGCAGGTTTCCATTTTAGACAGGTTTTACTATAGTAGCTAAAATAGTATTTAAATTTCGAATTTTTAAATGAAAATTTCCAATTTAAATAAATGAAATTCTTCAAAAGACGAGGAAGAATGCATTTTAAATTTTCCCCAAAGGATTTTTGGGGAGGAATTTTAAAAAAATAATAATAAAATAACCTTAAAAATAGCACTCGACCTCATCTTACAGGTTTTAAACTAACAGAAAAATATTTATAAAACTAGTTATATCATATATTATTTTTTTTAATTCTTATTTTCTTCACGTTACACGAATATAAAATGAATATTATAATGCCTCTTATCAATCGATACGTGCGCTTATATAGACATAAAGAAGATCTTTTAATTAAGATATTCATCTTTTCTCGATTTTTCTGCCATTAAAAATTAAATAATAATAAATGTTAGTCAAGAATTAACAGAGAATGCGGTTATATATCAATATAGAAACGTATACAATTTCCATGATGGAATATCGCATTTCCAATCACGTTGTAAAGATGANAGGAAACCTCTGAACAGCGGCCACTGATGGGATTATTTTTAATTTGTATGAATTTTTGTTTGAAAAAAGTCCTGGAAAATGGCCGTTGTTTAGAGGTTAATATATATAAATTTAATAAAATAATAATTATAATAATAAAATTTCAAATGACCTAATTAAAATTTAAATGTTATTGTTTTTTTAAATTTTTTAAAAGAAAATTAAGTAAATTTATATATAAATTCGATTTAGTGACTTTGATGCTGACACTAAATCGAGTATGACGCTAAACTGAGAGACGAAAATAATAAGAATGATAAATAGTGCGAGGTATGGACAAAGTCACGTGATTTAGTGATGACAATGCGCGTGCATTTAGTGATTCCCAGATGCTGAAGGGTTCTCAATATTAAGGGGAAAGATAAATTTGCGATTTACGAGGATGGCGCTAAATAGGAGATGGCCATATCGAGGTTTTAATGTAATATAATAAACTAGTCGAAACTTAATTTAGTACCTTCATTGGTTCACTTTTGAAATCGGCACTAAACCGGATGTGGCGCTAAATTGAAGATCTTGAGGGTTAGAAACTCGGGCGATTTTTTGATAAAATTAGCGTTTATAATGCAAAATCGTAAATTTAGTAATTCGGAAGGGAATTTGTTCACTCGTTTTACGGGGGTGGCGCTATACAGGAGTTCGCATTATCGAGGTTAAACTATAGCCTTATAAGATAACACGAAATACAAAATCTGTGCTTTGAAATGTCGCATAAATTAGAGCATTTAACCCAATTTTTCTTTAAAATTAAATTACTATAAAGTAAAAGATCGATTATAGTTCACTCTCGTTATATTGTTCATCGGATATATCGCATTTATTATTTATTATTATTTTGTTTTCCAATTATAAAAGCGCTTTAGCCAATAATGAATGGAGATAAATTGGTTATATCGCATCACCCGATATATCGCTTATTGGGCTTCAATTTTCCGATCGCACACCTACACGTGCGTCCGTCCGTACGTCTGTCTTTATTCAATCTCGAGAACTGATTTAAATAGACGAAAATCGAGACCAGATATGGAAATTTTATCTGTAATGCAATCGCGGTATAACGAGGGTGCTGTAGTGTATATAGAATATTAAATAATATAAATTAATAATTATTTTCCACACGAATTTAGTCCTACTCGTTCTACTTTTGTGGTCTTCCTATCTTATTATACATAAGTATTATTTATTTATTTATTTTAAACAATTTAACAATTTTAAAACATAAATTATCCCTATCTGTTAGCTATAGGATCTACTGTATTTTCCTTATCAGTAAGGGAACGGACTGTCAATGAGAAAGAATACAAACATTCTCATAACACGTGATACGAATCCAAATGTTATATTACGTAAGGGAGAAAAAAATAAATGTTTTCACACTTATAAAACATTAAAATTCTGTAGCACATTTACGAATTTATTGCGATAAAATAAAATAAAATAATAATAAATATTTTATTTTATTTTCATGCCCAATTATTTATTTATTTAATTGTAAACAGAGGTTGCTGAGTGATTCCTGAAAAATAATTCGAATTTATATTAAATTTCTGTTTGTTATCTTAATGTTTATCCTATTTTGAGCATTTTAACATTCGAATTTAACTATCTTCGTGTAGAATTCTTCCATTTGTATGACATTTATATAGATTCTTGCCCGAAAATTACTGTTTTCCAGTATAAAAAATGACTTAAAACAACAATTGATTCATTTTTTAATGATAAAAACCCGAAAATAACCCGCTTTTACGGGTTATTCATCAAAAATGATTGTTTTTATTTAATAAAAATGAATTCTTATCATAATATATGCAGTCGAACCTTTCAATAACGACCACCTTATAATAGCGGTCACCTCTAAATAGCGCCATTTTTATCTTCCTGTCAGTGGCCGTTGTTCAGAGGTTTGACTGTATTTATTTATTTTTCAATTTCTACCCCCCAAAAAAAAATTATTAGTTATTTATTTATAAATTTTAAGACGAATTATATTTACATTAATAATTAAAATATTTTTATAAATTTTCTGAGTAAATATTTAAATAATGTTAAAACTATTCTTAAGTTAATCTTAAAATTATTCTCATAATTTACAATTTATGCAGAGGATTGTTAAGCGAAACTATTCAAATCATTTCGTTACGCTTAAACAAGTAACTTAAATCATTTAATTTTAAATTATTATTTTTTAAAAAAAGTTACAAAATCATTATTTAAAAAAAAAAATCGTTATCGTTCTGTCTCGAAGAGAAATTAGGATAAGAAAAATGATAGCGAGATAGCAAACGATTTTTTATATTTATTAACGATAATACAGCCAAACCTCGATTTAGTGCCACCGAGATTGGCGCTAAAACGAAGAACCTCAAACAACAATTGTGTGAAGTAACAAGTTCTACGCACGAGTCCAAGTTCGGGTTTAAAAGTCACGTGATTTAGCGATAACAATGGAAGTCGGGCCTTTGTTTAAGGGCCTCATGTCACTTCTCATTATTAATACATTTTGTTCTACACTCGTACCTGTATAATATCACTAAAGTAATCGAACCGGGGACCTCAAAAGCGCTTATAACGGCCCTGCCCGCAGATATTTATGAAATTCTAACAGATTGACACCATTTAACAGAGCTAGCGCTACATCGAGGTTCGACCATACAATAACGGATAGACACGGTTAAGCTTCACTACATCTTTTAAAAAACTGTAATTTTTATAAGAGGTAAAGCATTTTTTTTTCTTTTTTTAATATAGAAGAGCATTAACACACCTCTATAAAGCGTAGTATCTTCCCTGATATACTACATCAGTTTACTGTATCACCTGTTTAGCTCCCAGCTTCGTATCGAACAAAAGCAACTTTAAAAGTGGAGTACCAATTATCATTTTTCATTTATTATCTCATATTTTCTTCTTCTTCCTTGCTAATGAGATCACTTATTATCTGGATGATGAAATTTTCTAAAAAGAAGCAACAAAATTTATAATTTAACCTATAAAAATATTCTCTTTTCCTCCTTCCTACTCCATTTAATATATTAATTAATTGATTTGTTTCATTAACGAATAGATTAGTCGATTATATTTTATCTTTAACGATAATATAAAGTCGATGAGTTTGTCTGTCCTCCGTTTTCTCTCGTTACCTCTTTTTCTTCTAAACGATTTTCGGTCGAATTTTCTGTGTGTGTGTGTTGTTCAAAATTTCCTGTTTCCCCCCCTCTTAAGTAAGGACAAGTCCAGACGATTTCAAATGGGTTTTAATTCTACTTCATTA